ATTATATTTATATTTATGCAAAAATCACAGGCCATAAAACAACCCCACTAAAAGCTGGAAGGAAAAGAAGTGGGGGGAAAGAATACCTCCGCCATTGTTGTAGGTCAAATATGGGAATCTCCACACATTTCCCAATCCTACTGCATATCCAACCATAGATAAAAGATAATTTTATTTTTTGGACCAGTTTCCCCGGTCCTGATTCTCATCATTTTCATCAACATGGAAGTTCTCAGATGAAGCAGTCACTTTCTGGGGAAGAGAAAATATCAATAGCTTGTGTTTTTACTACAAATTCCACAGAAGCATAATTTCACACACCCATTGAGTAACAGAAAGAGGAGGGAGGGAGAAAAACAAGCACTAAAAATGGTAGCCAGGAAGATTCATTTCCAAAGTTGGGGAGATTTCTACTGACGGCTGCTTTTATTTTACGTTTATCCCTAGAAATGGAAAGAGCTCTGTAGATAGATATTTTTACTACTCCTTCAGCTGAAATCATCCAAATTTTGATGAACAGGTTAAATGTCATGCCAGGAGGAAGGGCATATAAAAGTAGTCAAATCAAATTTCAAATATAAAAGCCAAAAAGATGAATTAGATAAAGCCAACAGATCTTTGAAAAGGATGAAATGTAACTTCTACTGTAAAAATATATATATATATCAACTCCTTATTAATGGGCTGATAGTTTTCAATGTTTGGAGTTAGGGGAAGTTGCAAGTTGCTTCCCATCTTGGAGAGTAAAATCACTGCTTTGCTCAAAGCCTCAGAATAAAATCAGACACAAATTCTCCTGTCCCTCACACCAAGTGGAATGGCTCTCTTCTTTGGGTGGTATTGGGGGATCCTGTTAGAGGGAGGGCAGGGGTTCTCTCACAGCCTGTTAGTTGCTCTGGCATACGGAAGTTTCCTCAGGTCAGATAAGGACAGTGCACTTTCCCATTTCCCTCCAGCATATGGACTTAGCCCAGAGGGACAACAAGAACACAGGCACTCCCAAGGCAGAGGAAGAGGTGGTCTTAAGTTTTATAACAACCAGAATAAGACCTGTTCTCTTTTATCTCCTATTCTATGGGGACATCTCAGGCACATTTGAAGATAGTTGAACAGAAATTTGGAAAACAAGAAACGGCCACAGAAAGCAAAGCAGGAGACTGTCCCCCAAACACACAGTTTTCCCTTCCAAGGCCCTCCACACCTTAGCAGCTCCCAGAGTCCTACCTCCTTTCCCCAGCACTTGAAGAAGCTGGGACACTTCAACTTGTCCATGGCTCACTCACTCCCTGGGCTCCGCCTCACCTCTTCTCGCAGTCAGGCTGAGTTTGACAGGTGGCAGGTGCTCACTCCCCTGTTCCTACCTGCCAGAGTGAGCCACCTTGCCCAGGGGTGGGACCATTTATGGAGGGAAGCTCTCCCTCCTCCTCCCAGGCTCCCAGCCGCCCAGTCGTGTCAATTACCGGAAGGGACCAGAGTGAGGCTCTGGTTTTTCCCCAGGTAAGTCTACATGTAGCAATCCTCTGCCCCAGCCCCTAGGAAAGGGCTGGGCTGAGAGAGAGCCAAGCAGCCTGAGCTGAGATGACTGACAGCCTTTGACTCAGCTGTTCAGGTGCCTCCGCAATTGCAATCTCGTCTCCTTTCCTGGGTTCCCTGCTTCCTCCTAATTTCGCCTTTCAGTCTGGTTTCTGTCCTGGGGCCAAGTGCTTACCGCTGCTGGTGCGGGAAGGAGTAGGGGAGCAGTCTATGTAGCCCATTCTGTTCAAGATTTGCCTGGACAGACCATATTACCCTCCTCGTCGGATTTCCCAGTTTTGCCCCTCACTAGAAAGCACTTAATACCCTGGGGCAAACACCGCTCCCAGGAGGAAAGCCCCTGAATTGGGCACCTTGAAAAGCAGCCAGCTGAGATAAGATTACCCAGCTGGCTCTGCCTGAAAAGAGCGACTTTGAGCCTATGTCTCAGGCTCTTTTCTCAGTCTTAGAGACAGCTTTGCCTTTTACAGGGATTGCTTTGTGTGTTATTTCAAAGAAGCCAAACACAAACAAATTATTGAGCAGGTTTATGGGAAATTCTAACCCTAACAAAAGACTCTACTCTGCAAGAAAGATGAGGCCTAGAAAGTAAACTATGAGGAAACATCCTAGCTTGACTAGGGAGGAAATAATTATTATAATGCTATTTACCAATACTGCACCCTTTCAGCAGAAAACTCAAAGGATTTAAACTCAGTCTGTCCAGGTAAGAAAGGGAGGCAGTTCTATGAAACAGCACAGATCCATTCGCATGGAGGAACCAACAGACAGTCAAATTCTGTACCCTTTGTATAGCTCTTTTGTTCTCCACTGACTACAAGAATTTTCCATTTTGCAAGAGAAATATGCCCTGAAGAATCTGGGCAGGGAAAGTAAAGTCCGTGAGGGAAGTAGTCATGTAGTAAAGGAAAAGTCTCAAAAAGTTTCATCAACTTTGTCTTGATATAACCCAGGCTGGTGCACGTACGTGTGTGTGTGTGTGTGTGTGTGTGTGGAGAGAGAGCACACACAAGTGTGCATGATCAAATAAGTGTGTGTCTAATAATATTATACACTATTGGTATGAGTTGAAGGCTAAGATGAAATAATTATTAGTCTGTTTTAGACATAGATGGGAACAAGAGGGTTTATAAAACCTCTTTATAAAAAGTTGAGCTGAAAAACAAATCTAATAGCATTTATCAAACTATCAAAGTCCTATAGAAATGAAAGAGGCACACTATGCCCCACTATAAACACCAGATAACTAAGGGAGTAGAAAGAGAGTGGGAGTGCTAGGGATAGAGAGATTATGGGGGCTGGAAGACAGAGGTAGGTCATACGTAGAGGGAAAAAATGAGCAATTTTCTCTGCCTGATGTACATATGATAGAAAAGCTTCTAATACCTTTGATAGAGTAAGTATCCAAAGCATAAAATTTAAAATAGAAGATCTTTCAAAGACTGTATTTTTGTTTGTTTGTTTGGGTGTAAGATTTCCATTGTCATGCATGACGTTGTGTGACCCAACTCCTCTCAACATTTTATTACCATCTTTTGTCATTCCCTGACTCAAAGTTTTAAGCTGTGTGTCCTTTCCTATACATGCACATACATGCTGTTTCTCATCTCTGTACCTTTGCTTATGCTATTTCTTATTCTGGAAATTCCCACCCTCTTCTTCATTCGGCTAACTACTACTCATCCTTGAAGACTTTGCTTAGGTGTCACCTCCTCCAGGTCTTTCCACAATAGTTCCTCCTTTATTACCACAGACATGGTTTAGATGCCTCTCCTTTGTATGTCTACACTACCCTATATTCTCTTTTATATTGTGTGAAACGATTAGTCCTCTAGACTGTGAGTACTTTGAGAGCAAGGCGACTATCTTAATCCTTCCAATATCTAAATAACGAGCTGAGAACCTAAAACAGAGCAGGTACTCAGGAAATGTTTATTTGAATATTTGATTCAGACAGGCCATATAATAACTTTTTATTTGGTCACAAGAAAAGGAAAAGGACAACTGGTTTAGTATTCATGAAATACTAGGAGCATGTTTTCACTTCTTTGGAGTCTGACTTATTCTCTGAGGAACAAATTGTTTTTGTGGATTAGGTAAACGGAACTTGACAGAAATATAGACGTTGAGTGGGTAAAAATGAGAGGGAGTTATATAAACTCAGTCATGAGGATATGAGTGAGCATGGTATGGGAGAACACAGCATCGTTGCTGTTTGTTGGAGTAAGAAGAAATAAGGTTAATGGAAGAAAGTGTAGCTGCTTATGCGCCTTGTAACACAGGCCTAAGCCACAGTCTGACAAGCAATAGGGAAGGGATTGTTAACTTGTGAATGACACATGGCAAGCTCTCATAGCTGGTTAAAAATAGTTTATATTTTAATTAACAACCCCTATGCACTGATTTATGCAATGCTGGACTTTTGGACTATGAGCCATTTCTTCCAAGACTAACACCATAGTAATGACTGATTAGCTTTAAAAATACAACAAGTAATTCTCAACAATCATATTTAATAATAAGTCACTAGCAACTAAAAATAAGCTCATACCTAAGTTTGCGTAGGAAGCAAAGCTAAAAATAAAATTAAATTAAATTAAATAAAAAACGGATCCAGTAGATCAGTAGATGTATTCTACATTCTTTTTCCTTCTTACTAAGATTATGTTATAAACCATGGAACTCCTTTCAGTGTTTCTTTTCTAGTGACTAAAAATAAAGGAAACTATTTATTAAAGTTTTCTTCTAGTTATTTGAATGTGGAAAACTGATGAAAATGAAAGGCATTTGGAAACTCTTATGAAACCCAATGTCTTACTGAGCAAATGCATTGTTTTTTATCCCTCTACTGAAGAACTCTTTTCAACATGATTAGCTGAAATTCTGAAAGAATGAATCCCTCTGGGGCTAGCGGTGGCATTGTGGTTACTGGCTCTGGACTCACACATGGCCCACCAAGGCTGAAGTCTTGGTGGCTTAGAAAATCACACTGGGTGTGTGTGTCCCAAATCCCAGGAGAATGGAGAAGAGGGGATTATGGTGTGGCCATCCCCCCTGGGGAGGGGGTGGTTCTCACTTTCCCTTTCATCACTCTCTATCTAGTGAGTGCACATACCCTGTGGCAAAAACCTTACTAAAAAAATGATTTATAGTAGTCAGTCTACAGTAAGAATAAATAATATGCAAATATTTTTATTCTTTAAAATTTACATTTAATCACTGTACATCTTTACACTATACAAAATCGTTCTGCTCAGCATGAATAAAGTACATATCAATCAAGTCAAAAATATTACCATATACATTATCATCAAGAGATATCTTTTCATTTTTTCCCTGATACTCTCCCTCCCACCTTCCCCCTACCCTCTTCCTTCTATGCTGTCTGTAGCCCCATAGTTGCCCTCTCTACCATTATACTCTCCAGCCTTTCTGTTTCTGACACATAGTGCAGAACATATATTTTAAATTCCTATCATAATTAAAGGTCTATAAGTGAGTTATGTTTCAAAGGTTAGAGTTTCAGACATTAACCACTTTATTTAAAAGTCAGACTCTCTCCATAGTCAAAACATTAGTGAATTATTTCTAGAAAAGTTTCCTTTTGTTCCTGATCCTAGAAATGAAAACTTACTTAAGAAAGACAATAACATATATATTCTTGTTTTTAGCTAAGGAGGTTATGAACTCTACGACATCATCATCCAATGAATGGACACAGAACACATGCACTGCTTTCCTACAAAATATAAAGGATAACATACCAGAGAACTTTGAAAGAAAATAATGATTCCTAACACTTAATTTCATACTGGTACTAATATTTTTTTTTTAGAGAGATTTTTCGCTACAGGGCGCGTGCGCTCGCCAGACAGACAGAGAGAGACATAGAAGACAGAAAGCGAGAAATCACCCCCCAGGGGGGATGGTCACGCCGCTATCCCTTCTCCTCCATTCTCCTCTCAGGATCTTGGGCACGCATGCACACGCGCCCAGCGTGAGTTTTAAACCACCGGGTCCGGGACGCAAACCATGGTTGACTACGTGGGAGT